GGTGGCAGCCGAACCGTCCAAGGGGAGTCGTGGCTAGCCCTTATCCCTTTCCCACCGGGTTCCTTTCCCACTCGACGTGTCTTTTGGCTTTCCTCGACCCGTGCCGACGCATAATCCCCAGTTGGGCTCTAAAGTCCCGTCGTGGATTTCTGACACCTCGGTTGCCACCGGGAGACCTCGTCGCTGCCACCGCTAAGTGCTCCTGAGCCTGATGGTTCTGTGGTGGATGCTCCTGGTGTGGCGACAGTGGTCCTAGATGCTTTCCTGTCCTAAAACTTGAGCTACCTGCAGGTGAAGGGATGCCTCAGTTGCCCAAGGCACTTTGGCTTAGATGGAGGCTCCCAAGGTGACTGTGCTGAGCAGTTTGGCTACTAGCCATCTTCCCAACACCCACTTTATTTCCCAAAGTCTTCCAGTGTGGCTTTTTTTCTCCTTGCTGAGTTTCACTGGGTAGGAACCTTGTGACACCAGTGACAGAACTGCCACTGTTACCATCAATTCCTCCACAGACATACCAGTGCCATGGAACTGCTTTGTCATTGGCATCCTAGATTTCGAAAAACGTCTTGTACTTTTCCTTTCCTTCTAGGCAGTGATTTTATGATTAGGCAGCAGCTGTGGGTTTAGGTGGTGATTCAGGACATGGAGCCACACCTACCCTTACTGGTGGGTGAAGGTGTAGTTCAAGACAAGACAGAGGAAATGTTACTTATTGTAAACTTAGTGTGTTGACCAAATTTTGCATATTGACAATAAGATGCAAATGCTGAATATATGCTGCAAAGACGATGGAAAGAAAAAGAATGGTATAGAGAATGGACACTTTGAGGTTCCTACCAAATGTCATACTGGAAGTACTGTATCTTGGAGTTACCTGAGTGCTTTATCCTTCACATCCATTACTACTCTTTAATTTGAAGCATCAATATAGCTATGTGTGGTCTGCTTCTGTCAATGATCAAGATGGCAGTAATACTTTTTGGGAAAGAGGCAAAAAATTCTGCTCAGGCTTCTAGAAAGCTTAATGTGAAAGGGGATTTGTCTTGTGTGAAGCTTGCAAAGGGGAAGACCACTTCAGAGACCCCTGCAAGGACACTAGACATGAGTGACTCTTGGACACTGTTGACCAACACATCTTTTTGTCCCACCACATGAAGTATTGGTGTCTAAATAATGGGCACTCTAACTCATGTCCAGTGCTCTGGGCTGCCTAGATCCTTAGGTACTACAGTTTCAGGAGATCTTAATGTTAAGGTAACTTATTATCAGCCTGACAGGCTGAACAGGAGTTCCCTGTTAGGATATTTTGGCTAAGTAAAAGCTGCAAGGCAGTATTACCTCTATATAAGGCAGTAATGAGCCATTACTGGACTGCAGTGTCCAGTTTTGGTGTCTGTGGATGAAAAGGGATGCTGATGAATTGGAAAGTGTTCAGAGAAAAACTGCAGAAGTATTCAGAGATCCGGAAACTGGATTATAGAGTGAGATAAACCAAATAGGTTGAGTTGCTTATCAGGACATGTCAAGAGGTGCCTGTATCAGATTTTAACTATGCATGCAAGGAGAAGACAGCAGCTCATTGGCAGACAGAGATAAAGCAGGATTCATTGATGGGAATTTGAAACTGCATGTTCTCAGATTAGAAAAAAGGCACATTATTTAGTGTACTAATGTAGCTGACGATTATGGGGTTAATTATTCCTCTTCAAAACTTGTAAAAGTCAAAAACCTGTAACTAAATATTAGCTCATAAATAAATGTTCTACATGGCAATATAAACAGAGAGGTTTTTTTTAATTTATATGCTTTGAGGCCTTGCCACATGTGAATGGCATCACTAAATCCTTATGCTTCCCCAGAAAAAAGAAAAACCATGAGCATAAGGCTGCAATGCATCTTCTGTTCTATCTACAAACCTCATGAAGTCCTGCATGCTGTCTTGAAAGGTATTTTCAGGGCAGACTTTGGTCAGATGAACTTCATTTATATGGTAGCAATTAGGCGTGTTTCAAATTAGCTAAGTCACCTAAATGTTAATTGTAATGTTGGTAAATAGGATTTGTGTGATGTTGACTTTTTCTTGAGGTGATATGCTACAGCCCTTTATAAAACCTGTACAAATAATGCACTGGCTGCAGCTGTATTACCTGTCTAAAAGAATGTTGTAAATCATTCTCAGAATTTTAGAAAGGCAAATTTATCTGGTGCATGTGTAAGTGGTTCTGTATGCCTTTGGAAATTGGTTTTCAGACAGGCTTCCCTTCTTAGGTGTTCTGTTTCTCCATTGTCTGCCTCAGCAGAGTTTGCTCTGTGCACAGGTGTGCTGTGAGTGCTTAAGTGGACTGATGAGTACCAGCTGACACAACACATGGTTTGGTATCCCATGATACTGGACTTTTAGTTGACTGCATGGATTTTCCATTTAATCCCTGGCTGCACCCAGAGCTGCTTTTAACTATTGTTACAATAATGTTTTAAATGCTAAAAAAAAAAAAGTGAGGCAAGTGTGTTATTTGCTCAGCCCTGTGACCTGCAAAATGAAAATAAAAATACATTCTACTGCATCAAGTTGTTCTTAAGGTCTAGACAAAGCATTTTTGACAACAAATACTTGAAAAATTAGAATGTGTTTTCATGAATATCTTCAGATACTAAAATTTGTTCTTTAGTGTTTGAACATGCAGCATTGCCATTTAGGTGAATGAGAATTCTGCCTGCATAAGCAGAACCCAGGCCCAAGCAATAACAAAATACATGCCTCAGAAAGATCAGATAACTGTACTCTGGATTCTTTCCCAGGTTCTTCCTTTATCTTCCAGTATACTGGGACCTGTTATTAACTGCTAAAATCAATGAGCGCATAGCATTGGTCATAGATGTAACAGGTCTGAACACCCTATTTGAGCAACAAGGAACATTAACTAAGTGTATGAATTCATTAAAGTAACATGAAGTTGATAAGTGCATCTTAAACTGTATGGACGTAGTGATCTTAGATGTCTCTTCCGTCTTTGAAGATTGTATGATCTGCTGTTCAGGGTTAATAGTAACTCAGGGATTTTGTAAGAATGTGACCTTAGACCATAAAATTGGTGATAGGTAATCTTATTTCAAAATGTTGCCTTGCATAGTTCACTATGGCTTAGTGTTTTGCAGTGTAGATCTGTCTTAGTAGAAAGAATTTGCCTTGACTTGTTTTCTTTTGTTTTTCAGGAAAAGAAATGGAGCAAGTTCAGTAACTACCCAGTCTAATGTCTTACTCATATCTCAAGGAATCTTACAAATACTTATTTTGAATTGAGAAAATGACTGCAGATATAGAAGAAAGTACCTGTCAAAAAGTGGAACACCCTCTAGCTAATTTGGAAGTAGTATAAAATAAATACCCCTGTTATGGTGCGATTCTGGAGTGGAGTTAACTCTATAGCACACAGGTAGCTCTCCAAGGAGAAAGAAAAAAGGAGCTTTCTGTTTTTCTAAATTATGGAAATTTTTTGGAAGACGTGGGGATGGATTTTGAGCCTAGTCATGGTTGCATCGGAATTTCACAGTGACAACAGGCTTTCATACAGTTCTCAAGGTAGGGGTCTGACCTCTGTAGCTGACAAGAAGCATCTGCTATTGCACTGCATTTGTGTAATGTTTTCTAAACCATGTTTGTGTAATCAATCCATGAGATCATATGGGCTCTGCTCTTGGTTTTATCATGATTCATTGTCATGCAGATTAAATTTCCTAGTCCTAATTTCTTACTGTCTACTTTTAACTGTAGGAAAGCTTTGCAAATTAAATCGAATAAAACATTGTACTTGATAACAATTGAGAGACTTGCCATAATAACATTAACGTGTTTTTTAGACTACGAAGTAAGAATCTAATCTTGTTTTTACAATATAATACTTTTCATTACTACTGTTTGTATTCTTGCAAGTGGATCTAATAGCTTTTGTCTTTGAATGGTGTCACTGGGTAAAACGTGTCCTTAGGTTAGAATTCAGCCCCAAATGTTCGCATACTTTCGGTAAATAGAAAGAGATATGTATTAAAAAACTTCTGTATTTCCAGTGATAATCAAATCAAGTGGAAACCAAACATGTTTTCCTGACTTGCAAAGAAAAAAAATAAGGTTTTACTTTATCTAGTGAAATGTTACAACATGCCTTTATCTGAAAATGATTTTTAGTCATGAGAGTGATGAAATTTGCCCAAATATGGTTTATGTTTATGCTACTACTTGTTGTTTCCTGTTATATTTTCTTCTCTTCTATGCCCACTTCCTGGACTGTCTTACCTTGTGATTGATTACAAAGAGGAATTCCTGTCTTACCTTGAACACTACCAACTAACAATCCCAATAAGGGTTGATCAAAATGGAGCCTTTCTCAGCTTTACTGTGAAAAATGCTAAACCCTCGAGAAGGAGGAGGAGCACAGACCCTTATGACCAAGAACTGGCAGCATCTAAATTATTTTTTAAACTTTCTGCCTATGGCAAGCACTTTCATTTAAACCTGACTCTCAACACAGATTTGGTGTCCAGACATTTTACAGTAGAGTACTGGGGGAAAGATGGACCGCAATGGAAGCATGATTTTTTAGACCACTGTCATTACACAGGATATTTGCAAGACCAACACAGTACAACTAAAGTGGCCTTAAGCAACTGCAATGGTCTGGTAAGTCCATATTACATGTTCTAGTATAATAGTGTGCTTGACCCTTTTAAATTACAGCAGAAGAATTTAATTGGCATATCTTTCAGTTATTTTGAGTCCCCGCGGGAAGCAAGCAGACAGGAAGGTGCAGCAAATCCCTAAAACCTGATCTGGGTCCTGGGGAAAAGTAGCCATCAGTTTTGCAAGTTTAATTGTAAGTACTAAGACCCAATACTGTGGTCCTTTAGCAGGCAACCTGTTCGGTGTTTACAGTGTCTGCACTAGGGCTGCAAGATTAGGTCTATGCTGAGTTCTTTACAGGTTATAAAAGCCTTGCAAGCACAAGGGGTGATGAGGAGGAAACAGTGGATCCTCCAGGATGATGAATCTCTACAGAGAGATGTTGGTTGAACTGAACACCTGCTGGTCTTTGAGAATTTGGGTTTAGAAACTGTGAGTACATTACAGAAGAGGAATTGCTTGGTGTGGAAGTCATCATTGCTATAAATTCAAACCTTAAGGAGAAAAGTAGATCTTTAGTAAGTATCAGCATCAGAAAGTAATTGTAAACTTTTTTTTAATTAGAGATACTTTGTTTACAAATTGTGAAGAGTTGCACTTAACATTAGGATTACGAATTTTGATCTCATTTATTCTCATCTCTTCTTTTACTGGTGATCTCTCGATCACATGGCAAGTTGTACATGCATGGGAAAACGCAATTAGAAAACAAACACAAAAAAGTAAAAAGCAGACTATTAGGTAACAAAATGCTGAAATAGTAGAGCATGACTAGGAAATGCTTAATCAAGAGCCAGGGATTTCTCTAGTAAAAATATATGTATACATTATAGTTGCTCATTCTGGTTTTTATTATAGCAGAATGCTGGTCAGTCTTGTTAGGAATAGGCAAATCTAACTAATTGCTAAGGAGAAAGAAAAGATTATGCAGACTTGTTGAATTAATTCCTATTTATCCTTGGAAATGCTATTGAATTAATGCCTCTTGGGATGTTATTTTCAAACAAAAGCCAGCTGCTGCAGACCTAGATAGGTTGCATTGCATCCAACTACTTGTGATAGTCTAGTTTAACATTTCTGAGTGCTCTCGAGGAAAAATAATTTAATGGGGATTTCCAGGGCTAAGTGAACACTGTCAAAGAAATGTAGTTAAAATGATATTCCATTGAGTGTGGTAGCACAGTTAGGTCTGAATTCAGTACAATTTTCACTTTTGTTGCAGTTGCCATGTAATGACTCTTTTTTTTTTTTTTTGTCACAGTTACTTAAGCTCTTAAGCTAATATACTCAGTCTTTGCTTTTGGGTTCTTTTCAGCTAAAAATACTTTGGAGACCAGATTCCTTCCTTTTTTCAGAACTCATTTCTTTAAAGGAGGCTGCATGCCTCTTTATCTACAGGGTTTCTGCTAACTGATACACAGACTAGTTGGCCCCCTTGGAGCCTGCAGTAAGTGCCATGGTGATCCCATTTCAGTTCCTCTCTGACCCTGGCTAGGGAGTGAACCAGGAATTCCTACCCTTGCCTTAGCTGACTCTTGTTTTCCTTTCATGCTAGGAAAACAAGAGTGGGATGAAGCAGAAAAAGTCTGTATTTTCCTATCATCTTTCTCCATCTCTTGCTCCTTATGCTACTTCTTTTGATCAAAGAGGCATGGAAGATGTCATGGTGAAGCATAACCTTTTGGTTTTGCTTCTATGCCCTACACCCTGAGGTGACATTTAGCATTCCCATTGCTGCCTGTTTTCCCTTTGCCCAGTCTGTCTGTTCTGGTGGAGTGAAGCTGTCGGTGGTTCTAGGTATCAGTATGCTAACTTAGTGTCTGTAAGGTAACTTTAGTGTGGATATTTTATATCTTTATTGATGATCTGGATGAGGGGATCGAGCCTACCATTGGTGACGATGCCAAATTAGGAGTAAGTGTTGATCTGCTGGAGGGTAGGAAGGCTTTGCAGAGGGATCAGGACATGCTGGATCAATGGGTGGAGGCCAGCAGTATGAAGACCAAGTGCTGGGTCCTACACTTTGGCCACAGTAACCTCAGGCAGCACTACATACCGGAGGAGGAGTGGTTGGAAAGACAACCAGTGGAGAAGGGGCTGGGGGTGCTGGTCAATGGTGGCTGAACATGAGCCAGCAGTGTGCCCAGGTGGCCAAGAAGGCCAGTGGCATCCTGGCCTGGATCAGAAGTAGTGTGGCCAGCAGGACTAGGGGACTGATTGTCCCTTTGTACTTGGCACTGGTGAGGCCACACCTCAAGTACTGTGTCCAGTTTGGGGCCCCGCACTCTAAGAAGAATTTTGAGGTGCTGGAAAGTGTTCAGAGAAGGACAATGGAGCTGGCGAAGGCTCTGGAGCACAAGTCCTGTGAGGAGCGGCTGAGGGAGCTGGGGGTGTTTAGCCTGGAGAAGAAAAGACTCAGGGAAGACCTTATCACTATCTACAACTACCTGTAAGGAGGTTGTAGCCAGGTGGGGGTCAGTCTCTTCTCTCAGGCAGTTAGTGATAGGACAAGAGGACATAGTCTTAAACCGCACCAGGGGAAGTTCAAATTGATCATTAGGAAGAATTTCCTTATAGGGTGGTTAGACATTGGAACAGGCTGCCCAGGGAGGTGGTGGAGTCTCTGTCCCTGGAAGCGTTTAAGGAGAGACTGGATGTGGCATTTAGTGCCATGGTCTGGTTGACATGATGGTGTTAGGTCTGGTCTTGATCTCAGAGGTCTTTTCCAACAGGTCTTTCCTGTGATTCTGTGTTTGCCAGTTAGGTTGCCATCAGCTCTTATGTGTGTCTTTTGGGTATTCAGGCAGCCTCAATCCAGTCTTTGGGCACAACATGACTGGCACTCAGGGTCTTCATGGTCATGCCACTTTACTAGGGAATGCAAGTATTAGGTGTCCACAGCATCTCTCAGGAAGGTCTGGTCACAAGCTTATGAGGCTCCTGTCATGCTCCAGAAGCAGCAGCAGCACGGGTGCCACATGGCTCTTTCTCAGTGAGGCAGGAATCCTGCAGAGGTGTGCAGCAGTAGGCTTGACTTAGTGTCATCCTCTACTGTACAGAAGCTCCAGCATTGACTGGGCCTTCCAGAGCACTGCATGTGGGAGTAACTACTCCACTCGGATGA